TAGCGGTATTTGAATTAAGAATAACTGATTTGTTATTCACATAAACCCAGAATTGGTGCCAGAGCTTGTATAGCTACACTGGGCAGCAGAATTTATTGAAGACAAAATTTTTAGAATTTAGGGAAATCTCTGGGATTCAAAATTTAAGGGAAGCAAAAAATTTAGAACCTAGGGAGGCACTTGGTAGGATCCACAGAGACTGCATTGATTTGGTCCAACTTTGTTATTTATTGCAGCAGTTTTATTAAAATTAAAGGTTGAACTTTTGATTATGTCCAAAAGAATTACTACTTCTGGAGCTGCAACAGGATCTACCAAGTGAAAGCATGTGTCCATTAAATAAAAAGTGGAAATGCTGCAAAAAATGGATAAAGGTATATCTGTCTTAAAATTATGGAAGGAGCATGGCATTGGAAAGTCAACTGTATATGACATAAGAAAACAGAAAATGGAACTTTTTGAATTTTTTGTAGAGTCCGACACCCCATTTCCAGTGAATAACGGAAAATTATTTGTTATGCCAAAAGTGATGATTGATGGGGTCAGACAGTTTCCCAGCAAGAGCGTACTATTGAGTGGTCCAATGCTAATGCTAGTCTGACACCCCACTCTCAGTGAATAACAGAAAAAGTTGTTACACCAAAAGTGATGATTGAATAGTTCAGACAGCATTGCAGCGAGAGCATGCCCTTGATGGTTCCAATGCTAATGGCTCAAGCAAAAATATTTCATGAAGTAATGAACTTAAAAAACTGAGTGCACAAATTCGACAAGTTGGTTAACCAAATTTTAAAATCACCATGGTATAAAGCAGATAAAATTTTCAGGTGGAAAACCTTCAGCTGATACGGAAGCTGATGAACTATTTGCAGACTAATTCTTAGTGAAAATTATCTCCAGAACAAATTTACAACACTGGTGAAACTGGTCTTTTCTGACAATATGGTACCGCTAAATACCTTGGCAGCTTTTACAGAAAACACTCCAACTGATGTCAAAGAATCCAAGGAGAGAATAACAATTTTAGCATGCACAAATGCTGTAGGAAAGCACAAGTGTAAACTTTTTATAATCCAAAAAAATATACAACCTCGAGCATTTAAAGAAGTAAAGATTTCCCCCATTATATATCATGCAAATAAAAGAGCATGGATGATACAAGCATTAATGATGATTGGTTTGAAAATCAATTCATACCCGAGGCTTTGCAGCATTTGAATTCGTTTGGTTTCTCCGACAACAGAAAAAATGTCCTGATTATAGACAACTGTTGGGCTGATACTTCACTTAAAGTTTTAGTGAAAAAAAAATGTATCCATATTATTCTTTCCCTATTCATGATTCAGCCTATGGATATCGGAATAGTGTTTTTGCTGAAATGCAAAGATAAAGTAGCATTTCTAAAATCCACATTAAATTTCATGAATATTGCCAAAGATTATTCAAGAATTTTTTTAATATTTTAGCATAAAATGTGATATGTGGAGCATTGCAAGATCGTGGGAGGATGTGTCTCCAATTACTTTATAAAATGCTTAGCATAATTTATGGCCAGCTACCATATGTCTTGTGAGGGTGATGAAGAGGGTAGCTGTGAAATAGAAGGATTTCGATATCGCAAGCCAAAGTTTTCCAGTTAATGGATTTTGTAATGAAAAGTGGAGAAGCGGTAATAAATGAAGATGATATAACAAAAGTTTTTCATTGCAATGCCAATGCCCAATCGTCAATCAACTAACAGATGGTGAAATCTGTAGTATGATTGTAGATCCAAAAAATCTGCTACCAGTAGTTAAGAAAGTGACAGAGAGGTTATTGAAAGCAAAATGTCTTCAATTGATATGTTAGTCAGAATTACTGAACAAAAAATATGTCTGTCCATGGAATTAAAACATTAGCACACACACACACCGAAAAAGAAAAAGGAAAAAAAAAAAAAAACTTACATTGAAATAGATGTTTACTCATATGATAATTTAAAAAAATTAATTAACCGTGTTTTATGTTTCATTCGCTTAACACTATTTTTTTACCATTTAAGTATATTGTTTTGGATTTTGTATTTATATACCTATTTTAGAGAATTTTTTTTTTTTTTTTTTTTTTGTTTGTTTGTTTTCCCCCCCCCTGCAATGCAGCACAAGACATATTTGAAGAGAAAGCGATGCCGGGAAAATAAAAATACAGGAGCATGGGTATTTAACATTTTGACACGTTGAACGCCACGCGTATTAGGCAATCCCGTTCGCTATGGGCCACACGCGCTGCTTAAAAGCGCTGGTATTGTAGGGCCAATGATTCTTATCACAGTAGAAGATAGTTTACGTACTATATTTCTTAAGACGCCACTGAAATACTGGTTTAATTTTTAAATCCTTTTTTAATTGAAAATTCTTTTTTGATATCCTATGGATTTAACAATTTCGGAATTGCCCATGACGAAAAGTATGCAATAGAATTTTAGATAAAGTGCAGAATCACCCACTGCTTGATGCGTTTTTAAGAATTGCACATACTCGCGATCCATGTACACATCGACCTATTTTCACTTAACCCCCTCCAGAATTGCACAATAATGACACTGCGCTCACCCTTGATTTTTATCTATGTATGCATTGACCTATTTTCACTTAAAAAGTAAAAGAAAATTGACAAAAATCCAATTGTTTTTACCGTTGTAAAAAGCAGCAAACAAATAAGTGGGCGATTCTGCACTTTGCCGAGAATTTTTTCAAAAAGGAATCATTCATTATAGAAAATTATGTTTGTACAACCAACGAGATGAAATTAAACAATAACTCGGTAGCGAAATAACGATGCAGGCATCCATTCAGTTATGTTTAGCAATTTTTATATAAATTATAATTATGATCTGAAAAAGTTATTTTCTCTTATGCTTCCATTCAGCCATGTTTAGCCTTTTTTATATAAATTAAAATGATAAAAAGTATTTAACTTTTCATCTAAATTAAAACATCAATCTTAGATAGTTATTTACTATTATACTTCCTTTCTTGCGTTAGGGTTGCCACAATTATTTTTGGCAGCACTGTCATCAACAATAGTTTGGCAATTTTTTAAGGCCATCAAAACCGAATAGTATCGAAAATTTTATTCACTTTTCATCGGACTTGTGCATTCAATTAATTACGAACCTGTAGGCACACAACAATATATATATATTCTTTTAAATAATTCTAGGAGGAAAGGTTTGTTTATTATTGTTTACTTTTTCTCAAAAATATGTTGGGAATTTTCCTGTTTTCTTTTGTAATTGTTTGTGTTTTCTCCGAAATATGTGGCACTGGTATCCTTAAACTGGTTGTCTGTCTTGTGGTGTATATGTGTAACATTTAAATACTTGCTTACCTAAACTGTATACTTTTATTATTGTTATTATTTTCTTATTTATGCCTAAACATGGTTTATTAATATAGCTTTGATGGTTGTGCTGTGCTCACAGCTACAGTCTTGAAAATATTAATAATTTTGTTGAGTTATCAAATTATGAGTTGAAGTGTGTATCATATGAACAAATGTTTTTATTTTTGTTATTTTCTTCCATGATGCTCTAGAATATGTTTCTTTCTAATACAATTAAAGTTCAGTTCATTCTAAGTTTATGAAGAGCAGCTGTGTATTGATTAATTAAGTAACTGATCATTGTTTGTCAAACAGCATGAGCAAATTCTCATCTATGTATTTGTGTAGTGTGTTTAAAACCCTTGAACAGCGTGACTGCCTTTATCTAGTCATGAGATTTTTTGTCATTTGGTATATATTAGCTTGATAGCGTATCGCGCAGCAGCACCAGGTCCGGGGCTCGATTCCCAGGCTGGGCAAGGTCGACTTAGCCTTTCAACACTTGGGTCGATAAAATGAGTACCAAGTTTGCTTGGGGATTAAACACTGGGGGGCCTGAGACAAGCTGACCACTTGTTCAGGGCATATGCTTACGCACCGCGGGGCCCACAATGAAGAAAGTATATTTCGGGCACTGCCGGCTTGGCCCATTAGGGCTCTTATTTTTTTTTTTTAGTTTATATATTAGCTTATAATTTAAGCTATTTTGCTTTCTTTAATAATGAAAATATCATCTGAAGTTTATGAAAATAGAGACTAAAATAAATAATTATACAACTTTAGCTAATAAATGTTATTTAAATACAGGTCTTCATGACAGATCCAAAAACTGGTGTCAATTAGAGGGTTAAACGAAAATTGCATTGTAAAAGCATAAGTTATGCATGGAATACATTATTTTTTTTAACTCTGTTGAATATGTTATGAAGTGGAGTTCAAATTGAGAGAGAACAGTTTTGTATGCCATGAAATTTTTGAAATTGAAATATGTTATTCATTTAAAAAAAATTCTTTAGTTAAGGCAGTTCAGTGCACCAGAAACTTCAATGAAGTAAAAGAATAAGAATGCTGAGTATTTTTTTAAGTTTAACTTTTTAGCTCTTATTACACTTAATATAAATATTTACATATATATTGTATATTGAATCGTTTTCTTGAAGTGTGGAGGAAAGATTGTTTACCTATGCTTACATTAGTAAAGAAACAATTAACTCACCCTTGAATACACTTTCATAAGTATTGCAAATACTCATTTAAAAGACATTTTCATAAATGATGGTGTTATTAATAAATGTTCTCTATATGACTACCAGTGATCAAATGGATAAGTTTGGTGAAAATTAGCTGGTTGTCAAAATGTCAATCCTCGACGATAAAACAAACTATGCCCATTAGAAAGCTGAACTGAAGCATTTCTTCTAAAAAAAATGGATTGCCCTGGAGTGTTTGACATAATGTATTATCTCACCTAATTACTTAAGGCATAGTTTTAGTATCTAGGGCATAGTATTTAATTTTAAGGAAGGGGACGGACTACCCATATATTGAAAAAAGGTCCAGTAAAATTGGTAATCTTTTCATTCAGTTGATTTATGATTCAAAGTTATTTTTTATTTTAATATTTTTATGATTATTAGGTTGCTTTAGGTGATGTGCAAGAGGTAAATAATTTGGAAGTAGATGCTTCAGCAAAATATGACAGTGTCAAAGCTGTTGGACACAGGCAGCCAGATCCAGCAATGAGTGTTTATTGGCAAGGTGAGAAAAGAAAAGATTCTACTTTTTATTTCATTAATTTGAGAGATTAATATCTTACTAAATGGAATAAAAAGGTTGCTGTTTTTTGATCAAACATTCTATCATGCAATATCTGTCTGAATAATATATTAAAATTTAGGGTGATGTGTATGTTTTTTTAATTATAAAGATCCTTTTAAAAGCTGGACCGTGAAAAAAATGGATTATTTCTTTATAAACTAGAATGAGTTTTATACCCATTTCTTCCTTCTGCTGTTGATGTTAAAGCTCAAGCACAAGAAATGCTTTCTCCCTTTTTGTGCCCTCCCCCCTCCAATTATGTGTTTTCAGTCTCGAAAATCACTTTTCTGATTGTTGCCATTAAATGTTAAGTATTACTTAAAGAATTAAATAATGAAGAATCTGTTTGTGTGTTCCTTGCATTGTGAAAATTGATGGCATCCCTAGTTACTGAATTTTTAGTACACAATGTCTGTTATCCGATCATAGGCACCTCATAGCTTTAATTTTGAATTTTGAATTTGTTTTTGATTTCTTTCAAATTTTGCACAAATTTAATAAAATTTTGTTTAACAAACGCACCAAATTGAAAGTGAGGAGTGCTGATACTGTTCAAAGTAAAGCATTTTTATCTCCAGTGTGCCAAACTGTTGCCATTCAGCAAAATGTAATTTTAATCCACAAAGGGCCCTATTCATGACAAAGAGCGTAACTAATGATCTTCTCTTAATGGACGACCGCTAAATTTCACAGCTCCAGTAACCGTAAGGACTGTTGGTTAAATTGGCATTCGTGACAACAACCGTCGGAGGAATCCTTACGGTAAGCAACCTTCATTCGAGAGTTGGGAAACTTCGTTAAAATAAGCCAATCATATTACAGCTACTAGAGACACAGGTTGACTCATCAGCCATGTTCAAGCGTGGGCCTCGTATCGTAGCCACGCTTTAGGGTTGTATTTCAGGTTTGGGGTGCCATTTTTGGCTCTTTAGCGGTGTTCGCTAAAACGTTATTATTTAACATTCTAGGGTATCCAAACTTCTGATTTTTTGCATTCATATAAAGATGTGTGGCTTTTTTCCCCCCTTCTTTTCTCTGCAGTTCAGCTTCTTTCTTGTATTTTTTTTAAACTGCCAAATTTCTCATATGATTTAAGTTATTTTGAATATTTCTAAAACATTTTCATATAGTATATTTCACATTTGTATATTATTTAAAAATACTTTCTTTATTGAATTTTCAATTTTTACTTTTAAATACATGCATAATGTTAAGCATCTCAAAATCTATTTTTTGACAATAAATTCCTCGCAGCTGTATGTTTAAATTTTTATGAGGTTGTACTGGATTTATAATCATGCTTTCATAGTTATTTAACTTTTTTCCTTTTAGAATTCAAGGTAATTTCATGTGTCATATAAAAATTACGTCTCTCAGTGCTCTATTTGTATGATAATTCTTAATTTCTCAGCTATGGCATTTCAGTACTGATGGAGTTAAGCATATTACTTTTATTTACATTACATGTTAAACTATTTAGAGGCCATTAAAGCTGTGGGTACAAATTGGTATGAATACAACTTCAGTAATTTTTAAGTTTCTAAAGCTTTCCTGAATCAACAGATAATTTTCTAAAATTGTAAATAAATTTTTACATGATAAATACATAAGTGCATGCTGGCGCTTTAATATATCTAGCAAGTTCACAGTTTCAACTTCTGAAAAAAATTAATAACATGTCTGCATATAAAGCATGTTTTTATTTTAAATATGCTATTTTAAGTTTGCTCATATGGAATCTAACATCTATTATTGTAGCAAACTGGTTAAAAATGTTATTTAGCATGTGTTTCCAGAAAAGGCAGTTAAAGGCATTATGATTTTAAATACTGGTTCAAGACCATGCACCTTTAAATTATATATGCTTTTAGATTGAAGTGCAAAAATGCTGTAAAAAATACTTCAGTTCTCTGATGGCAAAAAAAAAGAAAAAAAAAATTGTATGGATTTAGTAGAGTAAAAATTCCACATCAAAAACATTTTTTCACCCTTATTTAGGTAAAATGAAATTAAAAAATAATACGTACATAAATAAATAAAAATAATACTTTTACATACGGAATTTGCAGATATTATTTACTAATCAATTATTTGTTATTGATAGCTACTTTTTAAACACATAGAAAAAATACTGATAAATTTGTAAGAATTTACATGCATTAAATGTTGAAAAAAACATACATATGCTGTTAATAGTACACTTAGCTGAATATTTAATGATAATTCCATAACCTATATAAGATTCAATCTATACCACTGCAAGGGCAATGCTTAAATCACAGTTCTTCTTATTAGTTAATTTCCATATGTAAAAACATAAATATATCATTTAGCTACAGATCTATAGATTATGGCCTCTTGTAACAAGCATATGCAAAACACAGATAGTGAAAATAATGCAAAAACAGAATTTTTTTTCTTAATGTGCAATTCATTCCATTATATTGAAATCTTATTAAAATACAGCAGTAATTTTATATGTTTTTCTATTATAAATCAACAGCTTTATAGAGAATGATTTTACTTTACTGGATTCTTATTTAAATGAATGTATATGGAAATATCAAAATAAATGAAAAAAAAAAAAAAAAAGGTCTGAATAAATCTTAGCCAACACTGCTAAGATATTCGTTATTTTCAATAAAATGTTTCAAGGTATATCATTTTAGTTTAATTCTTTTTCTATTAAAGAAGCTAACCTAAAACATATATCTCATTAATTTGTTAAAAATATATCTTAAGTAAGTTTTATGTGCATACTGAGTAGGCAGAAAAAAATAGCCTTGATTTAAAACCTGTTTTAAAGCAACAAGTAAATAAAATACACTGGTTCTATTAGCATGTCAAAAAAAAAAAAAAAATACTGTTATGTACTCTAAAAAAAATCCCAAGTATCACATTATGATGATATATTACACTCTTACAAAAGAAGAAATATCAGATTAGGAATATACTCTTTTATGTATTTGATAACAAAGAAGAGTAAAACGTATGCAACATCACATTGTGAAAAATCCTGCAAGTCATTACAATAATAAAGTAAAAATCAGTTGATCATTCTTTTACAGTAGCACTAAGTTTTCCAATCAAAATTATGAATATGCCAAAACAAATTCACTATCGTTGGCCAAATTTAAGATCACACAAAAGTAAATTTGATTTAGCTGAACATGAGATCTTCCACGACAAATTTATGAACAAATTGATTTTCTTTAAAATGTACTTGCAAATTTAACAAAAGCATGCATGAAATTTAACATTAAAATCTAAAGTACTAGTATTTAATAACAGTTCCATGTATTAAATGAATTTAATCACACTTTTAAGAATGCAATTTTCTGATAAATTTTAATTTTTATAAGAAAATATAATTAATTTTGTAAAGCTACTTAAAACATATTTCCTGTTCACACATTTAAATAAATTTAAAGTAAGTGTACTTAAAAGTGCAACATGAAGATCTACTAATAGATGCATTATAATGGTCTCAAAACAATTTGTCGAATATTTAAATTAATACTTAACATCTTCAAAATTCCTAAAAAATACATATCTTACTATAAAGAAAAAAACAAAATTATTTATAATTTAAATCACACTATCAAGTTTTTAACGCTGGCGCCAACTAACAGATTTGGCGACAATATATTAGAATCAAAATAGAATGCTACTTTAAATTATCAGTCGTACAGTAAAATTAAATAAAAATAAGGCACATCACATTTTTAACCTTTGTGATAACTCAGCACAAAGTTTACATGAAATGTAGGATACAATTTTACAAACAGCATAAACTATTTGCGATAATAAAAGAAACATCACAAACAGTATTGGCCATAATTTTACTGCACAAACACATGCACATTCCGCAATTCATTTTGTATTTATACAATCAGTTGATCGTCAATAAGTGACATTAAAATAAAAATACACATTCTGAAGAAATATGAAGAGTAATTTTTCTAACATTCTAACATATGGAAAAATACGAAGCTGAACTTACCTCACCAACGACACTCTCCTGGGCCCGGAATTCATTAATCTTGACAATAATTAATTATCCATTGTCTATATTGTATGTAAATCGAACGCATTGCTTCGATCACGGAAAATTAGCTGCTGACGCAGAGAAATTCGACTAATTTCATCCAAATACGCTTCAGCTAAAACTGACGCAAAACCTTCCGCCATGTTTATTTGCCGGAAATATAATCATCTGTTTATTTAACACGAAGGGTCAGACACCTGTCCTTACTTTAACAGCCGTCTCGTCAATTTAACGGTCAATTTTAACGCTAGCTTTGATTAGAATACCAATACTTGCGATTTAACTACTTGTGACGTCAGAGTACCACGTGATTCCGTAAAAATCACTTAACACTGTGGTTAAAAATGTCATGAATCGGGCCCAAATTGAGTTATTTGAAAGCAATATGTTGCCACTGCCTCATTTATTATTTCCATGTGCCAGCATGTTGCTATTCAGTAAGGCATAAGATAGTCAACTTTCAAATTTAATCTTTCTTTTATCGAGTAATTAACCAAGCGATTGAAAAGCAATAAATGCAGTTCTTAAAAATATTTTTGTACTTTTTAATTTGATTGACTTAAATCATGAGATGTCCAATCAGAAATATTAAAATTTTTATGAAATGACAATAGCTGGGCTCAATGAAATTATTATATACTTTTTCTTTTTTGTGATAACTATTTTAGGCCACTAATTTTTGAGGAAATAATGTTATTAATAATTGTATTAATGGATGGCAGTACTTAATGAGATCAGGAATTTTAAAGCTATGCTGTTTTTAAATATTTTATGATTTTGCTGTTCAACTTTATCTGTCATCAGTGTAAAGAATGTGATATTTAATAAAAAAGATTTAAACCAAAAGTAAATAAATAAAATACAAAAAAAAAAGTTTTGTAAGTTATCTTATTATTAAGAAAATCGAACACTGACATAAACTGAGAAAAACTGAAAAAAATAGAAGAGTATTGCCAATACTTAACATTGTATTGGAAATTCTAAACATATGCTGCTTTTAAAAATGTTGTAATTTTGCTGTTGAATGTATGTAGCATAAGTACAAAGGAGGCAATGCTTAATAATAAAGCTAAAAAAAATCTGAAGGCTTTCAAATTTTATATTACGCCCAAAGGGACTTTTTTTAGCTTTTTGTGTGTTACCTTTATTTATTAAATGTCATGTTCTTTGCCCTTGAGCCATAAAATTCAATTCAACAGCAATATCGCAAAATAATTTTAAAATGAGCATGTCTTTAGAATTTCCAATACACGGTCCGGCGTGCTGGAGATAAAAATGTGGGTTTTTTTTCGTGCAGTTTTGCTATTGCTCACTTTGAAATCGCTGAATTTGTTAATCAGAAAATCATTGGAAGTGTTACAAAGTATAAAATCGATAATAAAACAAATTCCATCGTAGGGCTTCCAGATGCCCATATTTGATTATGTAATTCAAAATTTGGTGGCTCTAGGTACCGCTTTTTTATCACAACACGAGAAACATACATACATTTATGCAGATTCTTAAAAGTCATTATTTCTATATCTTAAATTAAATGTAATTTTTTTAAATATAACACAGGGTGATAATATTTGGTGGCAACAATTTGAAAAGTGAATTAATCACCCCTCTGGGCTAGCGCCTCTTGGGCTAAAAAAAGAATGTTTTAGCAGGGGGGAATTCAAGAGATTAGTAACTGTGATGCTCAGAGAGAGTATAAAAACCCTTAACAAATGCTCTGGTGCAATGTTAAAATATGAATCCTTTCAGATTTTCTTTTTGTTTTATGCATCACTTTTCATACCATATATTGTACATATTAAATGAATTAAAAATCTAAAAGAAGCAAATACTTAAGTTAATATTGAGAGGTAATAACTGCTGATATCATTCAGATTCCTTTTACTTTGCATTAAAAAGTTTAATTAAGTACATTAAATGTTTAGCTTGTTTATTTCCAAATCATACGCTCACAAACAACAAATGCATATATATATATATGAGTAATTGTAGTGTCTGTGGAAGATGAGAACCAATTTTCTTCTTAGTCATGGCTGAGAAGACTGTTGCTTAGATGAAAACTGTTGTGTAAAACACAATGGCTTGTTGCTTACAACATCATTTTTATTTTGTACTGGAACAGTTTTTCAGAAACACATTTTTGCTTAAAACTGGTACAACACTAGGGATGTTAAACATGCCCCACTATTTCTGTATATGCAGTTTATATTTCAAATAATAGAGAAAGAAGACAAAGTGAAAGATGTGGTTTATTCAAGCAGCAGCAGGTGAGGAAAAGCAATGCATACTCGATTTGGTCCTATTTATAGTCAGAAAGTAATTGTGTTGATCCCAAGCAGCAGTTGGGATCAAAACAATGGCATTCTGAATGGTGTCGTAGTGCAGAGAATTTGCTTGGAGTGACAGAACATGCTGCAGAGTGATACAAAATAGTGCAAAGCATTTAAGTTCAGTAATTTTGTCTCATATTTTATTCTTATATATTTAATTCCTTGCTTTTTAGTTTGGGTATTCCCCTCCTTATTCTATAAATTGTAAAAAAAAAATATTTCTGGGCTGTGCCATTTCTAGATCAGTCCATATCATATGACTTGCATAATGCGGATGATGTGATGTCGCAAATTCAGGACTTGAACTCGAAATTTTGAGATCTGAAATCTTTCCCCTGATGAGTTTCCATGTTGAATAACTGTACACTTTTTCTTCTACCTCTAAGACGCTGCCTCGCTGCTGTCTTCTTATCGCAACAGTATCAGAAATGTAAATGTTCTAGAATAGATACAATTAGAGTGCAAAGTTAATGTGGCCACAAATATCAAAGTAAAGATGAATATCTGATGTGCCTCAGCTGCCAAATTTGCTCTTCATAATAAATCAACATTCTACATATCTGTGCAGTCAATATTTCTACATCATCATTATTTCCAACCTTGCTGCCTTTATATATGTACAGTCAAAAGTCGTTAATTCGGACACCCATAATCCGGACCTCAAAGCTAAAAACTTTCTACGCATGCGCATAGGCGTTTAAGCATGCACGTAAGACCTTTACGACTGCGCGTTTGCGTGTGCACAAGCTCAAAATACGTTTTCGCTGCGCGTTTAATGTATAACGGACGGTAAAAGCTAAAATTATCTAATTGTCTATTTCAGTTAATGTTGATGATTGCGTTGTTCCTTAATCTTCGAACTGGATCCGGCTTTTTTTTTTTTTTTTTTTTTTTTTTTTTTGGCTGACTGTAAGAGCAATTTTATAAAAGTAAGCTTGAACTTTCGATTATGTCAAATAGAATTTCCGATGCTGGAGCTCCTAAAGGATCTACGAAAACAAAAGTATGTTTCGATGTCCATCAAACAATAAAAGTGGAATTGCTCAAAAAAATGGATAAAGGCATATCCTTTGTTTATCTAACCTTTCCGAAATCTGTTTATCAATTTCACGCTGCTCTGCGCGGGCAGGAGGGGGAACTTGGCGGCATGCAATGAACTGGAAGTTGATTTGTATATTTGTATACACTATCGTTATCTTCAGGGCAGATGTTTTTATTTTATTTGGCTTATAATTCCTTATTAAATGTAGTATTTCATCTCGATGTACTTCTTTGATATGATTTAAATCAAATTCCTCGTCATTATAAATATCACGAATACAAATCAAATAGTTTTCTGGTTGCAATTTTCTAATTTCGGCTATGCATAATGTATACTTTACGCATGCGCGCGTTGAAAGAAATGTTTAATAAAGTAAACAAATAAATATTAAGCTCTTTTTTTTTTTTTTTTTTTTTTTTTTTTTTGTAAAATTACCCTTTTAGATCATAATTTCTCATTATTTATAAATTACGTTTTCATATTTTTAATTTTATAATTTCTGCATGCCATCTTACCAGATTTAAATTGATGATCTATAATCCGGATAATTCGATAATTCGGAATCAACGAAGTCCCGACGAGTCCGGATTAAAGACTTTTGACTGTATAAGGTGGACTGGAAAGTAATGTCATTTCTGCACATGTTTGCATTTGTTTATCATTTATCAGCTGTGTAATAAGCATTATGCAAGAATTATATGACATGGATTATTTATGAGATGATGCAGTTTTTTAATATAAGTAATAACTATTTTTGAGGTGGAAGGGGTAACACCTAGTTTTAAATTGTAAAATAGGATTATTGCAAATTAACCCTTTGCACTCGAGAGGTGATTCTCACTCACCATGTGATTTGATACTGCGACTTGAGAGGTGACTCTCACTCACCATGTGATTTGATGCCACAACTCGATAAGTGATTCTCACTCACCACTTGGTTTGATGCAGAAACTTGATGCACGGCAATAACTGTTTACATTTAGATCTTATGAAGAGTAAAATGATAGCCCTTTAAATGGAGATAAGATTTTCTTATCATAAATCTTATCTTATTACAAAGTCTCAGAGAAATGAACCTGGAAAAATTACATCGATACATGAAATATCATACACAGAAAAATTACAGAGACTAAATATTTTAGAAATTATATTTTTAAGGGTGTGAAGCTATGTAAACTGTTAAAATATAAAATTGTATACATTAATTTGTGTGTGTAAAGATTTAAAGTTACTGATAAGAAATGCGTCAAAAAGGCTGCGAAACATCTCGAGTTGCTGGTGTGCATGCGAAAAAGGCCCTGAGTGCAAAGCGTTAAAGTTAGTCTTTTGATTAACATATTTTTTACCTTACATGTATGTGTGTGTTTACCTATACATATATTTAAAATGAAAGATTATAGTAATTTTGAACAGCTTATGTGTGTTTTCTTTAATTGGATATATTGTGATTGTTATTGGTATCTTAACTTTCTAGGCATGACCATTCCTTTGGGTACCCCCATTAATGCCTTGGAACAAGGAAATTCATCATCACATCATTATTTGAACTTCAACGAATATGTGGTTTATAATTCATCTCAAGTGTGCATTCGCTACTTGATACAATTTATTGATTAAGAGAAATATTTTTGGATGTTTCTTGACACACTTTTGCAAAAGTGCGTGAAAAATTTAACTCATCCTGACTGTGCCGTAAGAAACTTTAACAGCAGGCATGAGAAACCCCTACAAATGTGCAAGCTTTCTCTTTTGCACCCAATGGACAATTCTATCAGCCCAAGTGAATTGTGTTACAGAAGATAAACTGCCATTTTAATGTCTGATTTATTTCTTGCGTTTTTGCATTGTTGCTCATACAAAAATATCCAGTGAACAATAGTTTTTTTTTTTTTTATTATTAAGGCATTTTTAAGCTGGGAAAAATAAGCCAATAAGTGCAGCACAAAAGCATTTTCTTTTGAAATTCCAGCACTTGCTTTTACATTTTATTCTTAAAAACTAAAAATTGGATTCATCTTATTGATTTTATATATCATCATTTTAAAAAAACTCTAATTTTACTTGTAATTTTTATATAACTTCTGTTTTTAGACATTTTGTGTCATTATAAAGTGTTGGGAATTTGAAAAGAAAATATCACTTTCTATCATTCTACAGATTGTTGAAAGTGATTTTTAAATTATCTGGTTTTAGAAGTACTTGTACCTATTTTGGTCACAAGCCTGATGTAGATAAAATTTCATACAGTTGGCTGTATGCCTTTTATTATTGAAAAAAGTGTTTTAATAAAGCTATAAAAATTTAAATTAACTGTATGCAATGTTCTTTTTACCTCAAAGTTATTTATGTGTTTATTATCAAAAAAAAAAAAAAAAACGTTTTACTCAAATTTTCATGTTATCTAAAGGTGGTAAGTTTCTTTGTAACTTTTGAAAATGAAGAAGGGCACATAAACTCTGAAGTTTTGCACCAACTTTTTACATCAGCAGATGTATATTTTTGAAGACCCATCTAGCAACTGACTAATGTATTTAAACTGAAAGTTAAAAATGGAGTTAAGATTTAATATTGCTTCATTTCCCATTGTTAAATACATGATTACACTTTTATTAAATTTGATTGTAATACATGGAATTTTTATGTTATTTTGCATTTCTTTATTGTATAAATAAATCATGAGTAGTAATGAGTTATACGGCTGCCTATATTTAATGAACACTGATCTGCAATAAAATGCAGCCATCTGTAACAAACCTGTTACCTGAAATAAAATATTGCAATTCATATTTGTAAATCTTACTCGTTTTCTTATTTATGTAACTGATATTAACAAAATCAGCATCACAAATACTATATGCACATGTATCTATTTCTATCTTAAACCAGTGCTTTAAATTAGTGATTTTGTTTTTCGTTGCAATTCTTATTTTGTAATGTTTTACTTATTTTACTTTAGATTTTTAACACCTTACCTCAAAAAAGTCATAGAAAATGTGTTGGAGAAGTCATATATTATGTATAATTAAAAAATAAGTAAAATGCCACTACTTAAATCAAACACACCATAGAGACTAGAAGAATATGTGCATAGCAAACTGAACACCATTTACTTCTCATGTATTGTGTTGTTTTACTAAGTGCCTTTCAGGCATATTTATTTTAAGTGTGAAGTTCCCAGAATAATTACAAACATTCACTTGAATAATCAAATATTAAATGAAACAATGTCCATCTTTAAAACAATTATTAAAGTGAATTCATATTTAAGTGATATAAATGTAAGAGTTGTGTTTTGGCTTTGAAGTTTAAAGGAAGGGGATCATCATATAAATTGAAACATTTTATTTCTCTTCTTGAAAAGTTAAAACAAGAAATATTCTTGTATTACCATGATCTCTTCTTAAGTTAATTAAATAACATTCAGGAAACTTAGTGATAACTAACAGGGTGTGCAGTGGTCCTTATATTTGAAAATAAATTATAAAAGCCCTTATAGGTGCTTACTTTTTCTCTAAAGGGCTTATTTTTTGTTTTTGGTTGTCCCCCTCCCCTTCCGAGCACACATTTTCATTAGTATCGAAGCTAAAAATTAATAAACAACTTTTCTTCCTTACCTGGAGCATCAAATGGTGAATCATACTTCTAGAAATAACTTTTCTCCCCTTTCTTTGCATTGACGTAACCTTTGATTTTTCATGAATACAGATGGACAGATGTCATTCTATTGGTCAAAAAATTGTGAATAGGGTAGAAAATTTTGGTATTTCCATATTCTTTTTCCACCCAGTACTTGTACCCACAGTGTATAGACATGCCTTTGTATGTAGTTGAACTTCTATCCAAGATTTTAATTGGTGTTCTCATTCTGCATGGTCAGTTCATATTCAAGTTTTATTATGACTGTTATGCTTGTATTATAAGCACATGTTTGAATATTTATAATAATAGATTTGCAGTAAACGCTGAAGTATAGATAAATTTCAAAAATGGGTAAGTGTGTTTTTATAACAGATTGGCTTTCTAAGGAAGAATATTCTGAATGGCTTAAAGTTTGTGAAAACAATCACAAGGCTGTATGTTTCTGGTGTAAAATTGAAATCAGCATAGCAAGCATGGGAGAGTTTGCTTTAACCCTCTAAGCGGCTAGAATATTTTTTGTGATATCTGTAAGAAGGTATATATACGTGCATTTTATTCCTTATGATTATGCCTTTGTGACATTTACGTCGCCGTCTGAACATACCCTTATAGTGACATGGGCAAACGTTTTTCAAATATGGTGCCCCAACAATGTTATCGTTAAGATGCGTGCGTATCTTTGCGCATTTTTTTTTAATTAATTATTATTATTATTATTATTACCAACTTATTTTCAGAGTATTCATTTATGACAAATATGTGAAGGTTGTTATTTAACGAGATTCTAAATAAAACGATAAAAAGAGGGGGATTATATTGAACAATGCTTTCTGTAAAGGAGCATCCACTGTGGGCTGAGATATACCTTCTTGAACTATTTGAAAAGCTGACTGAGAAATGTCCAGTTAGTTATTCACTAATTTGAAATGCTGTTTCTGTAGATCCAAAGTACATGGTGCAAATCAGCACAAAAGCATATGGGAAAATGAAAAGTATATTGATGCATGTTCCCCAAAAAGGTCACTTTGCTGAAGAAGAATGTGATAATATTATTTTGGAGTACTCCGATTTTATTGAAAATGTTGTCCAGCCATACCTTACAAAACTTAAAACCTATGATGTGAAAAAAAGAATGAGATTAGATACTTTTTTGCACACATTCGGTAATGAAAAATACTTCAAGTTATAGTTATGGGAAACATTTAAAATGATTTTTATTCTTTTCCGTGGGCAGGCATCTGTTAAACGAGGTTTAGTATCAATAAAAATGGGGGGTGAATTCATATATCGCTTGGCGCATAGTTTTGATTACGTGAAACATGCTGGTGGGATCCACAGTGTATCAATTCTGAAAGAGATGAGAGTGGTAGTTTCATCAGCTCGTTCATGGTATCAAAATAAAAAAAAAGAAGAGCTGAATGAACAGATGAATTTATTTCTCTTAAAGAAAAGAAGAAATCTTAGTAACAGAAATTGCAGTGCTTGAAAATAAAGCAAATGGATTTGTTGAAAAAGCTGAAGTTATAAAAGATTAATCTTTTAAAAAAATCTAACGAAATGTTAAAAACTATTTGAAAAAAACAAACTCGGTTAAGAGATTTGGATTCAAACATTAATGAAAAGAAAAACATAAAAATTAGTTTCATAGGTATACATAATTTTTTTTTTCATAGGTATTGGAATTAATTTTTGAGTATTCATTTTTTATAAAGAAAATTCGATTAGTACATGTCTAGAATTGAAACCACTTAAGACTGATCTTTGTGTTTAAAAGGGAATAGAATATCTTCGAACTCAACTTCCTCTCTAGTAGCTGTTGAGACTACATTATTAGTTTTTGTTCATAAACTTTGTGGTGGAAATCTGTATCGTAAACAGTAAGAAATTTATACCATGCCTCACATCGCAGGAAAGAGTCATTGGGGTTTGCAGATGGGATCAAGTGTTGATAGAATATTATAAACAAGATGTTAGGAGATTAGAGAGAACCAAGCATCTGTTATTATCCCAGTAAAGCATACCCAAAACAGACAATTATGATACAAGTTTATATTTGTGCAATATTTCAGTTATTATTCTTGAAGGTGGGTACGTACACATATGTTGACAAATCCAAATCTTAGAACTTGAGTGCATGAACTTATTTAATCTTAATTAAGACTTTATGCAATATTTATCACATTAGCTAAATTATAAAAACCTCTGCCAACAAAAATTAAACAACTCAAATTATAGAGTATGTTGTTTTATTATTTAAATTAAGATGTGAGCAAGTATTTCAAAAAAGGTTGTTACTAGTTTCATCTTTTGTTGTAAAAAAGGTTAGCTTTAAATATGTTCTTGGCCCATAGATGGCACCACTGTTTTTATATACTTCTATAACTTTGCAATCCAATAAAACTTAACATACAATACACAACCATGAGCGAATATATCGCTAAGCTCAAACCTAAAAAGGGTTGGATTCTATTTCTTAAACGCATGATTAAATTTTTACCAACCAATTATCTGTTTTTCCTAATGATGCTTATAAATTATATGATCCTGCATTGCTAGTTTCCTCAAAGCTGGAAGCGTGCACTTATAGTGCCTGTTCCAAAACCTGGCCAGTGCCACTCAGATCCTCAAAATTACAGACCTATCAGCCTCCTATCTTCATTATCTAAAATTTATAAATTTGTGCTACTTAAATGTCTGAACGATTTTTTCCAGAACCGAAAAGTCCTTATTGACGAACAATTTGGATTTCGAGCAAAACACTGCAGTACGCACCAGCTGCTGAGGACTGGAGTTCATTCATGAAGGGTTTTGTAGCAAAATGCTTACAGGCGCACTTTTTCTTGACATCGCCAAAGCGTTTGATAGGACTTGGCATATTGGTATTATTATCAAGCTCATGTGACTTGATCTTTCGCCTCATTTCATTCACATAATTAACTCGTATCACACTAATAGATCTTTCTCTGTACGAGTTACTTCTATCATTTCAACTCCCCGTCCCAAGGTAGTCTTTTAGGACCAACTTTATTCAGTTTATTTATTAATGACATACCAAACTCACCCAGTGTAACCCTAGCTCTCTATGCGGATGACACAGCCATCCTAGCAAGACACAAACACCTGGACAGATTGGTTCATAATATTCAGAGTTATCTCTCAAGCCTTGAGCACTGGCTCATTACTTGGAAATTAAAAATTAATGTGATAAATGTACTGCTATGATTTTTAAACGAGCTCCCAATCTTTTCAAAGTAATACCCTATGTATGATTCTAAATGCACCCTGGTAATTCTGTTCAGATGTGATAAACTCGGGTCTCGATATTAAATCTATTGACGTTGAAATTAAAAAACGTAGTCAAAATTTATTTCTCAAAATTGAACAGATTGATAATTGTGTACTTACACCAATTGTGTACAACAACTGATCTTTTATTTTAAAAATCACATCTTCCCACAGAATTTACTTCTGCTTTGAATATTTTCTCGTGATTACCTTGCTATATATTTGCACTATTACATCGAGCCACATGCCAATGAGCCTGTTAATCGTAAAATCTTTCCTATCCGCTTTTGGCTTTAATGTTTGTATTGTGTATAAAAAACTATGAAAAATAGAAACAAAAATCTTAAAATGTAAGGCTACCAAAAAAGTTTAAAATTTTGGAAAATGATTATAAAAACTAAAATTTCATTTTATTAATTGTTTATATTTATCTCTATCTCTAACCTTTCTCGAGCATATGTGGCTCCCTCTGGCTTGCATCAAGTAAACTAACTTATGCAATTTTCTTATTTCTGCTCACTTGATTTAATTCTAATGAGGAGGTAAATGGTTTTAAACCATAGGCACTCTGTAATTTGAAATCATTGGCATTGGCCAATAAAACTTCACTTGTTCCAAACTCCCAACAAGTATGTTGTGTATTATTTATTTTCATGCATGCAAGTAACCACTCTCTGCTATATTGAGTTTCTAACAGGTTATGGACCCAGACCAGATTAAGAAATGAGGATAGATAATCTAATGACTAGTTAAGTTAGTTTGTTTATTTAATTCTAATTGTAAATTTTTAGAATTACTTTAAGCAAAATTGGCCATATGGTTATGTTAGTGTTAGCCAAAGCACATGGTTGCAAAAGCTTAACTAGTACA